ACGCAGCTTAACGGCAGCGCTCAGCACCCCGGGGAGCTGACTGCGGCACGTGGTGCAGCCGGTGCCGGGCCGCTTTCCGCTTCATTTTGTGAATGCAGTCGCGGTGCCTTGGGGGAGCGCGGCAGCCCCAGCGTGAATCCTCCACGCAGGCGACGCGGGAGCAGCCGGGGCAGCGCCGGAGCCAAGGGCACCTTCAGGGCTCCGCTCCGGCAGGCAGCGAGGAGGGGACACCCCCACGAGCACCAACACAACGTTTCAGCGGGATTTTATTCCAAACTCCTGAGCATCCTTCCAAGAAATCAAACCCCGACAAGAAAAAACAGCATCAGCCCCGGACAAGAAACAAGCCACAACACCCGAACTCACTGCTGACGGGGGAGCCCCGTGGAAAGGAGCGGGTCAGGGAGAGCTTAGGGCTGTGCAGAGCTTCTCCCTTCCCTCCAGCTGCCCAGGAGGCTCCTGCCCTCGCCCGACCGCTCTGCGCCGGTGGCCTGTGGTACCATGAACCCAGCCAGGAGGGAGACACCAATGGGACAGGTCGCAGGGACGCGTGTCCCCGTCACCCCTCCGCAAAGCGCAGGGGAGCGAATCCCGCAGCCCTGCGACCCCTCTCCCTGCAGCCTCCTCTACCCCGGCCCCGCCGGACAGCCTTTGCCCCGTCTGCAGGCGCCCCAGGGACAGGAAAACACCACGACTGCCATTCCCCACGCAGGGAACCGCCTCCGCAAGGGGAGCCCATCTCCAGCCTCAGCCACAACCGCGGGCGTAAACCCAGCGGCGAAAGCGGGGCCTCCCCGGAGAGGCCGAGAATGAAACCTCCTCACAAGCCGGGTGAATGTGGGGCACTGCTGCGCACCCCACGCTGCCATCGTCCGCCCGGCAGGCGCCTTTCAACTAGGTGCAAAACGGCAGTTTGAAAACAAACAAGATAAACCTGCTGCCTCCTCTCCTGCTCAACACACACGGAAGCCTTTATAGCTGCTCAGAAATATGGGTCACCCCGGGTGGGGAGAGGAAAAACACTGCTGCAAAGATTGAAGTGCACCAGAGTGGTGAGCAACGGCATGGAAGTACTTCTGCTCCTCAGGGAATCTTCTCACGGAAGCCGGCTGAGAAAGCGGAGTCCTCACATGAACATGTCCTCATAGCCCGGAGGGGGAAGGTGGTCCGGATTTGGCCTGGAAAGGGAGTTAGAACCAAGTTAAACCAGGATGGAGAGCTCAGTCCTTTAGGGCAGAGGGGAGATTCAGGGGCAGGTTGTGGCAAACAGGCTGGGGACCTGCCCAAATACCTACCCGGCTGTGTTGGCCCCTAAAGGACCAAAGGGGTCGAATCTGGCGCCGGGCGGAACCGCTCCGGGGGGCAGCCGGCTTGGGAGGCCTGAGGACGGGTCCAGGCCAGGCCGCGGGAATCCCGACCGGAGCGGATCGACGATCATCCCTCCACCCTGACCGCTGCGGAGAAGAGGGCAGAGATGGGCATCACCCCGGCACTGTGGGCACAGCAGCAAGGAGCCACCCCGCGCCAGGGCGGCTCCTTGTCCTCCTGCCCGTGCAGGAGCCACCCCAGGGTGCTACAGCCGGCCCTGCGCGGGGGTTATCACAGCCCCGCAGACCCCCCTGGACAAACAGTCACAGGCACGACGTCAATCGTGGCTCCACACCATGCCCGGCATCGCACCAGGGCGGGAGGCTGCAGCCAACCGCGCTGGCAAACACCAGGGTTAGCTGGAAACGTGCAGGAAACACCGGGGTTAGCTGGAAACACACACAGGAAAAGGGCAGCCCAACGCTGCCCGTGAGGGGAGCAGCGAGGGCCGGGCGCGCTCCCCGCTCCAGGGAGAGTCCCCGGGCGAGCGTCACACCCTGCCCTGCGCCGTGTCGCAAGAGCTCGCGGAGCCGCCCCAGGATCCCGCAGCCTTCCCAAAGAACTGCCTGGAAGTCATCTGCCGGCCGTGGCGGCTCCTCGGAGCTGCCCCACGCTGCAAGGGCCGTTATTCACGGTGAGCTTTGTGCAACCCAGCTGGAGCCTCTGGACCCCGCTACCATCGTGCGAGTCATTAACAGCCGTGCTAATGAGTTGCATTACACCAGGCTGGCTGCCCAAAGGGCCCCCCCACGGCCTGGCCCCAGGAGCACAACCTGGAGTCTGTGTCCCCAGCCCCGGCCCTGGCAGGTGTCAGCACACAAATCTGGTCCCATTTACAATCTTTTTTGTCCTTTACAGACAAACTCCTGATGAAGGGCTGGAGGCAGTGGGAGAAACAGGGTTCCCCCACAACTGAAGCCCCTCTCCTTGTGCTATCGGGTTTCCTTCCAGCCACCCAGGCTCCAGGCCTCTTGTTCCAGCAGAGCAGGACATTTTTAGCCAGCCCTTTTCTAGCCAAACCCTCAGAGAACTATCTTGCAAGAGGGAAAAAATGCGATCCCCATAGGGCAGCGGTTCCAAACAGGACTCCCTTGGGCCACGGGATGCTCCGCAATGACTCCAAGGGCTGGTTTTCGCCTGACTACGTGCTTTTAACGGGAACGGAGAATGACAGGTTCTCCTTCCCCCAGCAACCCAAAGGCCCAGAGAGATGCGTGTCGAACCCCCTGCAAAGAGCCCTGCTGCTGCCCACACTCTCCCCAGTGTCCCCATCGCAGGCGCCTCTCACAGCCTGGAGCTTCCCAACGGGAATGGAGAAGCCGGGGGCTCAGATTTAAGCCTCCCTCTCTGCAGAACGCTGCGGGCTGCAGACACAGCAGCTGGGAACATTTTATATTAGGGGCTTACATTCGCTTAACGACGTATTCAGCTTTGATGGACTGAAGGAATTACTGCGTTTTAAATGAATACAAGCTGATTATTAAACAGACACAGATTGCAACCTATCATCTATGCAAGAGGCAGGATCTTATTACGGTATTAGAACCATATTGAGGGTTAGCAACTGTCAACTGGTCCCTTGCAATTCCAGCAGGATAAGAGCCTCATCAGAGGCTGCAGTGGCCGCTGGCCGGGCCGCCTGACCCGGGCACGTCCCGGCGGTGGCAGCGGAGGCTCCCGGCGCCCCCCACACGGCCAGGGCACAGTGGGGACACGCTCCCCGTCACGCCAACCCCACCGCTGCCAGCTCGACTCACCGCAGGGGATCCAGGTCTTGCCCACCGACAGCGAAGGGGCCCGAGGGAGAAGGCCTGAAAGGCAAGAGCCAGCGAGTGAGCTTGTGGCCGAGGGGCAAGCGCGGCCCCGCGGAGCTGGCCAAGGGGCTCCGGGAACGGAGGGCTCCCACGCGA